CAAGAACGGCATCCGGTGGTCGGGGGGGAGAGGGTTGCTGGAATTGCGGCCGCCCCGACCACCGCTACTCGGAGTGCCCCTGTCCCCGCGATAGCGGATTTTGCTATCGCTGCGGGGAGCGGGGAACCACTCTGAGGGATGCCCGCGATGCCGAGACGGCTGGAAGGAGCCGGGGGCCGCCTCCCGAGGACCCAGGCGGGGAGGCTGAGAGGAGTCGCCCGCATCATCTCGCTTTTTGTTTCTTTTTTTTTCTCTCCCCCTACCGTTTTTTTTCTCTTCTTCTCCTTCTCGGTTACGGTGATTACCGTTTTTCTTTCTCTTTTTTTTTCTCTCTCCTTTCTGTCTCGCGTGCCCCCCCCCCGGATCCGGAGGGGGGAACTAAATAAAGAGAGAGAGAGAACGACAAACCCAGACTCATAATTTCGTGACCCTTCCCCAAGCTTTCCCATTTTCCCCTACAACGAGCGGTCCTACCGGAAGGTAGCGATCTCGCGGAATATCGGGAGGAACGTCTTACCCCTCGGAGGCGACGCACCCCGAGACGAGACATACAACGACGCTAATAACCCCCGCGTGAGACTCATGGAGTAATCCCGTGAGTACGTGCCGCGAGAGAAAATTTTGTGAGCAGATGGGTGGCCACGGCGAGTCCATGACTAGGACGACCGGTGCGGTCTTCCCCGGGGAGGGGGGAGTTGTAACGTGGCGGCCGTGGAGGCGCCCGTCTCAAGAATATCGTACCGGATTTGTGTGAGAGTTTTCGCGTGTCGCGTCGTTAACGGTTTCGAGACCTTTCCGAATATCGCGTTCCGTCGAATGTTTATTGTGAAGGTCTTAGAACAAAGCGAAGAAGCGATTTTTGCGAGCGGAGCAGATGCGAAGGTCAGCGCGTCCCGAATTTTGTGCCCCTAGGCGTCCCTTGCCGGCCACCAGGAGAGGACGAGGAGCGAGGAAGCAGCGGCCGACAACCAGCGAAGCCCTTAATCAGGTAAATCGCACTCTCGTACTTCTGTGAATAAAATATTTCATCGCGAATTATCGCGCGCTCAGCGATAGCGAATATTCTATCGCTGAGAAAGTACCGTAGCTAGAACACAATATCGCGCTTAGACGGATCAGCTGTGTTTACTTTTAGCGAAGCAGCCGTCGTGAGAAACCCAGCAGGAAAAAACGGGAGAGCCGAAAGAGGCAACAGACGGATTCGCGATGACAACAGTGTCTCGAGACGAAAAGTGTCTCGAGACACGAATACCGAAATCTGCCGATTCTCGACTACCGACCATCACAGGACGAGGGGAGCAGCGACAAGGGAGGATCCGCGAGGATACGTGAAGATATGTGATGTCCTCCAGGAGAGAATCAGCTGGCAGCCTTACCGCGACCGTTGCCGTGACCGGACTTAACAGCCTGCGTACGACTACCGAGAGTGAAAGAGCGAAAAAGTGAGAGAGAGCGAAGTGAGTGAGGCGAGAGAAAGCATGAGGGCAGTGTGCGCCAAAAGTGGAGGGAAGTATGGGAGCGAGAGCGTCGCAAATTTTTGAGAGAGAGAGAGGAAGCAGGAGAACGAAGACCGACACCGTCGTCGCTGCAGCCGAACCGAGGGCCGTCATTCTGTAAGACCACTCATCTGCTCCGTATTTCGTCCACCCGTCTGAAGTCGTGTAATTATCATGCGTACTGTGTCTCGTCCGCGGAGCGGCCGCGCGCACCATAAGGCTCATCCGAGGAAATCGTCCTCGGGTTTATCGTTGTCGCGACAGTATTACCGTCCCGCGACTGTCGACGCGCTTAGTGAAACTGTACCGCGCTTCTTATCGGGACGTGCGAGCGTCCCACCAATAAATGTATGATTACCGAGAACGTGTAGAATCGCTCTCAACCTCTCCTAACCCATCCCGTCTCCGACTTTAACTTCCGAGGAGCTGCCGGTCCCGACGGTTCCGGGACGCGCGATTTTCGTGATAATTATCGGCTCTCGCGTTTATCGAGGTAGTGCGGCCTTTCCGTATTTGGCGCCCAACTCTCGCGTACATCTTAGCGGCGTGTTCTGGAGCAGACGGCAATTTGTCGACGCGGCTGACAGGCGACTGTCTGCCGTCGCTCGCGAAATTACGTTCGCGAGTAGCGTCGCAACATGGACCCTGCAAACGGCCAGAAAAGTGAACCCGACATGTAGAAAGAGATCATAAACATAATATACATAGTCTCATATGCATAATTATTAAACGAATTTTAATACGGCTAAATGTTTTCATGCTCCTTCATTCTCTCCTATTCTTTCTTATTTTCTCTAATTCTCCTTTCTTCTCTGTCATTCACTACTATTCTCTCGTATTCTTATTCTCCCTCGTTATAACCCCGTTCTCGTAATACGGACGAACTGTCCCTCGACTCCGCCACGATGACAATCCGGCGCAACACGAAGCAAGCCGCAACGCACAGCCAATCGGTATCGCGGAAAAGAGGCAACAATGCCATACAACCGATAACCAAGCAACTTCGGAACGTGACATCACCTTTTTACTATTTGGATTGGATTGTCTATCAATAGTCTAAAATTGGGGTATCTGGAAATCGTCCCCTTTTTCTAAAGTATTTTGCGATACGAAGCCCTGAGTTCCTTTTTCTTTGCAGTCAGAATTAATTTCTTTTTTTTTTTTTATTATTCTTCAAAACATTAACATTCTCATTGTCCTTGGGATTCGCGGGCCGTATGTTATAAGTGGATATGAGAATTTCTACTTTAATATCCAAAGAATTGATTACTTCTGTGTAAGCCTTGCCATCCGTATTTTTTATCAGTTCATTCGTCTTTATCTGCACATCGTTACCAATAGTTATCTTAGGTAAATATCCTTCTTTGATATGCGGGTTTCCGATACGCACGAAGAACAATCCCCTCGAACTTGCAGGAATTATAATAGATTCGGGAGAATAAAAAGGAATCTTAGTATTCAAAACGTCTAAATACCCTTTAAAATAATCAATTTTCGCTCCGGTTTGTTGGAAAAAATCGTGATCTAAAATTCCGCTTGATTGAATAAAAAAATTGTCAGAAACAACATGAAAGTTAACAGGTACGCCTAAAATTGTTAAGATTATTTCCCCTGAAGTATATACGGAATGTTCATCAATACCATTTAGCTTTAATATATAATTCGGATTTATTATTTGCTTCTTTAGAATTCTACTTTCTTTGATTAAATTAGGTCCTGATCCTGTATCAAACATGAAAATTTCGTAATAATTGCTATCGTTTAAACTTATTTGGATTGTGGGAACGCAACTTTCTTTATTCAATTTTATTTCTTCCTATCGGATTAAAGGAGATCGGTCATAATCTCCTCGCCCTGAGTCATCATTACCGGGCGCCCAGTTCCAGCGGTTCCCTGAGTCGCGCCCGTAGTCGAGGAACTCGTTTGGTTTCCTTGTCTCCGGTTATTGTTTTCGATTCTCAGAACACAGTTCTCTAATGAATGACCCGCTTCTTTGCAATACCTGCATTGATTCAGCAAACCTGAAGTCGGTTGGTTTTCGCGACATTCTTTCGCTTTATGTCCGGTCTTATTACATAATTGGCATATAATCGAATTATTACTTGGCAATGAATTTTGACCGTTGGATTGTCTCATGTGACATTAAGATGCGACCTGGGCGCTCACACCATTGACACGCCCCTACGGTATTGTTAAGTGAAATGTTCCGATTCGTATAGCAATTTTTTGCATCGTAACCCGTTTTATTACACAATTGATAGAGAACAGCATTAGTAGTAACTGAGCGACTTCGACAATCTCTCGCGGTATGACCGGATTTCTGGCAATTCTGGCAAATTACATTTAACTGATTACGGGGAAATTGGCAATTTTTAGCAAGATGACCGGATCTTTGACAATTATAGCAAATAACATTAGGCTGGTTGTGAGTTGATCGACAGGTTTGAGCAGTATGACCGGATTTCTGGCAATTCTGGCAAATTACATTTAACTGATTACGGGGAAATTGGCAATTTTTAGCAAGATGACCGGATCTTTGACAATTATAGCAAATAACATTAGGCTGGTTGTGAGTTGATCGACAGGTTTGAGCAGTATGACCGGATTTCTGGCAATTCTGGCAAATTACATTTAACTGATTACGGGGAAATTGGCAATTTTTAGCAAGATGACCGGATCTTTGACAATTATAGCAAATAACATTAGGCTGGTTGTGAGTTGATCGACAGGTTTGAGCAGTATGACCGGATTTCGAACAAATTTGGCATATAATTATATTGCTCTCCACGAGTTTTACGGGAGCAGTGCCGACGCGGTCTCTTGTCCTACATTAATCTGCACTATGACCTCTAATTCGGCTTATAAACCATTTCCAAAGATAGTTTCAGCAATAAAAGAGAGTTCAGAATATGGACTGCAGAATATGGACACAAAAGTATGCAAAACGCAGCCTATAACTCTTGTCGAATACTCAAAGACGCCGACTATCTTATATTATACATACAGCTGCGTTTAATTTCTTTGAATTTAAACATTTTTTTATTTTTAGTATAACGAGTATTGTTCGGCTGTCGGACAGGATATTTTTAAAATTTCTCCTTTTCCCCGGATATTCTAGAAATTCTCTATTTGTAGACACTTAATATATCCGATAAACTCGTCATATGACAAATAAGCAGACCAAGATTCCTTGACTCGTCGAAATCTAATCTTTAATCCGCAACTTTCGTGTCCAAACCATAGCGTGATACGGGCTTTACATTTGTCAAAATTTTTTAGTTTAAATTTATAAGTTGTATTGTTGATCTAACTTAACTTTTATTAGATTTATCTCAATTGTAGTTCATGAAAAAAATTTCTGTAACTCAAATATTTAAATTTTTTTTTGTTTCATTGTATAGCAATAAAAATCAGCTGAAAGGATCTACATATCAGTTTTTGTGGTCAGAATCAAAAGCAATTCAAGTTTATTCATTACTCCAGCTAAGGATTTAGCGAGTCAAAATGAGTATAAATCAGAATACACCTAATAGTATTATAGACCTGGTCACACCAGTGACCACTAATAATACTATAGATCTAGATCCTACTAGATCTCACCATACTATAGATCTGATCACACCTGGTAGTACTATAGATCCTGGTACATCTAATAGTACTATAGATCCTGGTCCTGGTACATCTAATAGTACTATAGATCCTGGTCCTGATACATCTAATAGTACTATGAATCTAGATACACTTAACACTACTATGAGTCTGAAGCAATATTATTCCGGTAAGTATTTTGAATTTATTTTTATATCTAATCTTTAATCCACAACTTTCGTGTCCAAACCATAGCGTGATACGGGCTTTACATTTGTTAAAATTTTTTAGTTTAAATTTATAAGTTGTATTGTTGATCTAACTTAACTTTTATTAGATTTATTTCAATTGTAGTTCATGAAAAATATTTCTGTAAGTCAAATATTTAAATTTTTTTTTGTTTCATTGTATAGTGTGACGTGGCAGCCGTGGAGGCGCCCGTCTCAAGAAACCCGTGTCGATTAGTGTAGAGAATGTTTATCGCGTGCCATGTCGCTAACGGTTTTCGAGACCTTGCCGAATATCGCGTTCCGTCGGATTGTTTGTTGTGCAAATGTAGAACAAAGCGAAGAAGCAATTTTTGCGAGCGGAGCAGATGCGAAGGTCAACGCGTCCCGAATTTTGTGCCCCTCGACGTCCCTTGCCGGCCACCAGGACGAGGAGCGAAGGACATCGAGGGAGGATGCAGAGGACGACAACGAGCGGAGCCTTGCTCAGGTGAATCGCACTCTCGTACTTTGGCGACACAAAAATATTATCGCGAATTATCGGACGCTCAGCAATAGAGAATATTCTATTGCTGAGAAATTATCGTAGTTACAATACAGTATCGCGTTTAGACGGATCAGCTGTATTTACTTTCAGCGAAGCAGCCGTCACGAGAAACCCGGCAGGAAAAAACGGGAGAGCCGGGAGAGACAACCAAGCGAACTCCCGATGTCAACAACGTCTCGAGACGAAAAGCGTCTCGAGACAAAGGTACCGAAATCTGCCGATTCTCGACGATCGACGACCCCAGGACGAGAGGGGTAGCGACGAGGGAGGATCCACGAGGATACGTGATCCTCCCAGAGCCGATCAGCTGTTAGCCTTACCTACCGACTACCGCCGCGATCAGACGAAAACTAGAGCAAAGCACTCCGATAACTACCGTACCGTGCAGTTAGAGTGTGAAAGAGAGAGAGAGCAGAGAGAGAGAGAGTGGAGAGAGAGAGCAGAAAGAGAGAGAAGTGAGAGAGTGCGGAGAGAGAGAGAGGAGTGAGAGAGTGCGGAGAAAGATAGAAAGCGAAGTGAGAGAAGGAGCGAGCGGAGCGGGAGAGAGTGAGCGGAGCGAGAGAGGACTGGGAGAGGGAGAGAGAGAGAAGAGAGAGAGCAGGAGAAGGAGGACCGCCGCCGCGACCGTCACCGCTGACACCGCCGCCGACGCAAGGGTCGCCGCCGAAAATCTGTAAGACTGACCATCTACTCAAAAATTAATTGTGTCGCGCACCGTACCGTATCGTGTCGTGTCTCGTCCGCGGAGTGGTCGCGCGGATAAAAAAAGGCTCGCCCGAGGAAAGCGTCCTCGGGCTTAGTGTACCGTTTCGCGAAGTGTACCGTCTCGCGAATTATATAGTCTCGCGTACTTTAACTATCGGGACGTGCGAGAGTCCCCGAATAAACGTCTCTTATTTACCGTTATCGAGTTTAGTGATTTCGCTTCCTCCAACCCCTCCCGTCTCCGACTTAAATTTAATAGAGCTACCGGTCCCGACGGTTCCGGGACACGCATTTCTTTTGTGTTAACTATTTATTCTCGCGTTTATCGAGGTGGTGCGGCCTTTCCGTACCTGGCGCCCAACTCTCGCGAAAATCTTTGTGGCGTGTCCGGGAGCCGACGGCAATTTGACGACGAGGCGAACAGGCGACTGTTTACCGTCGCTCGCGAGAAGTTCCGCTCGCGAGTATCGTCGCAATAGCAATAAAAATCAGCTGAAAGGATCTACATATCAGTTTTTGTGGTCAGAATCAAAAGCAATTCAAGTTTATTCATTACTCCAGCTAAGGATTTAGCGAGTCAAAATGAGTATAAATCAGAATACACCTAATAGTATTATAGACCTGGTCACACCAGTGACCACTAATAATACTATAGATCTAGATCCTACTAGATCTCACCATACTATAGATCTGATCACACCTGATAGTACTATAGATCCTGGTACATCTAATAGTACTATAGATCCTGGTTCTGATACATCTAATAGTACTATGAATCTAGATACACTTAACACTACTATGAGTCTGAAGCAATATTATTCCGGTCAGTATTTTGAATTTATTTTTTTATTTCATAAGAAATATTTACATATTGTCAAATATCATGCTAAATTCAATAATTACAAAAGTTTTTATTGAATCTTTTATCGTTTTATCTCTTTATATTGAGTTATATATTTCTTTTATTGCCCCTTTACTGTTAAGTACGTCTATAGACGTACTCGACTGATATTCGTTTCTATCATAGACATAGTAAGTATAGACCCAGTGTTAGGTTCAAGACGTAATGTAAACGTAGAACGAGAAAGAAGACAACGACCGTATCCTTGTCACTTTCTAATAAGAAAAGGTGGGGATAGACTCAAGTTTGTGTATTGGATTATAGACGTGACTTATCTTATTGCGCAGGCGCATAGAGAGAGAAGGAGATACGGTCGTTGACGTCTGTCCTTTTCTACCTGTACTCTATCCCTACTCATCAAAAAGAGGCGAATGCTCGGTCTGTACTTATTATGTCTATGGTTTCTACTATGGACGTAGTATACATGGACCCCGCATACGGCCAGAAAAGTGAAACCAATATGTACAGCCCCTCTCTGTTCTCTGTCTCTTTCTGCACAAAGTGTGCAATAAAATTTAAGTAAGACTTTTACTTGCCAGTCTAGTCGGGGTGCTGTTGCACTCTATAATATTATGGATACGAGAAATGGATGCATGCGCAACAAAAAAGTGACAAAAGAAAGTGTCCCTATGTTCTAGCTCTCTTTCTAGGTATTGACTTCACTCTATTAGACGACAGAACATAAGGCATTCGGAGTCCATGTATAGTATGTCCATGATTTCTATCAACTTTTAGTTAACTTAATCGGCTGGTTATTTCAACGGAATTTACAAATCGCATCTCTCTCTGTCAGAATTAACAGATGCGATTAGTCAATTCCGAAACAACCAATCGGTTATGTTAACCAAAGTTGGTAGAAATGGACATAATTCGGCTCAAACTATGGAGTACGTCTGTACACGTACAGGCAAAAAATTCAATAACAATTAAATAAATTAACGGATCTGTACAAAACTTGGCACTAGAGAGTTTTAAAGATCGCTGAATACAAATTTAAGGTTAAAATTTAAAAGTTTTTAATGGTATACCTATTTTGAAGACTTTTTTGAAATTGATAATAGACACTTGATTGTAGGTAACAAGCACTTAACAACTTTATTATGATACTATTTTATATCGTTTCGTGTAATTTAAACTAGCGAAATAATCGAAATATTTTTACCTCCGCATTTAACTGGTGAATATTTAAGAATATAAAAACCCTGTAAAACCGAATATGAGAGAAATCCGCCAATTATTTGGAGTTTCTAATATTTTAATCCATCATATTAGATCCACCATTCTTAGTTTTCTAATTTTGACTCTAAATTTATTTTCAGCAACCCGGAAAACTTCTTCTATAAACCGAGTTTTATAGAAATTCGCTAAATTCTGAAGAATTAAAGCCTGAAAAATTCTTTTTGCATCTGAAAATGAATCCAGAATTGGTGACATACGATTGAATTCTTTTTTAATTCTTTTTGAATTCTCTATGCTATCTGGGTCTTTAAATCAATGGAATCACGTTATAGAAATAAAATATAATCCGAATTCAAATAACCCGGTTATCGCTCTACTTTTCAAGGAAAATTTACTTCAAAAACTTTTGAGAGTAGAAATACATGAGATAAGATACAGAGAAAATATTGATTTCGTAGATAAATAAATACATTTGTAAAAATAATATGCATATTTATAAATTTTAATATCGTAAACAAATAAGTACATTTGTAAAAATGACATATATACATATTTATAAATTTATAATCTATTCGAAAATTTTCATATATTAAAATGTTTCACGCTTTTCAAGCTTGGCTTACCGATGGTGCACCAGTATATTTTCCATCGTTCACGTTTATGCTGGATAATGAAAATTTCGTAATGTTGGAGATCACTATCATAGTATTACGTACCATTCGTAATTGCCAAGAAATTATCAATAAATTCAAATATCTTGGAAGATTTTGCCTAAAAAGCTCATGTCATTATATCATATTACATATTTAGTTTTGTATAATTAATGTCACAAAAATTACCATGATTTTTTGCAAAGTGGTATAAAACTTTCTTATATATTTTATAAATTTTTCAGTATTACAAAACTACACAACTTCATTATCCAGCATTCATAAGCCCCGTGAAGTTAGCCCTCCAATATTCGAAAAAATACAATTTCTACACCTAATTCGTTTGCTCATCGTTTGCACATGTTTGCACATCAAGAATTTTCGTTTGTACACCTCTAGTTTCAAAGTTATTGAAAAAACAATTTTGGGGGTGCCAACTTCACACTAGCCCTCAACATTCGAAAAAGTGAATTTTCTTTAGCTCAAACGATTGCATATCGTTTGCACATCAAGAGTTTTCGTTTGCACACATTTAGTTTAAAAGAAATTTAAAAAACAATTTTGGGGGGGCTAACTTCACACTAGCCCCCCAAGTTGCTCAAACTTGACTCACAATGCATGTAATCGATAGATTTTCGTTTGCACATTTCAAAACAACTCGAATTTTCGTTTGCACACCTCTGAAAAAAGTTATTTGACTTTAAACTTTAGGGAGGCCAAACTCACACTTGCCGAAATTTATGACTGTAAAATAAAATTGTTTGACGTATGATATCATTAGATCTTCGTTGAGGGTGCAAACGAAAACTCAAATTGTTTCGGAATGTGCAAACGAAAATCTAACGATATCATGCGTCAGAAAATTTTTTCCTGCAATTTTAACCTAGGTTTCGACAAGTGTGAAGTTAGCCCTCCCAAATTTCAATGTTAAATAACTTTTCTTCTAGAGGTGTGCAAACGAAAATCTAACGATATCATGCGTGCGAAAATTTTTTCCTGCAATTATAACCTTGGGTTTTGACAAGTGTGAAGTTAGCCCCCCCCCCCCAAATTTCAATGTTAAATAAAATCTATCGATTACATGCATTGTTAGTCAAGTTTGAGCAACTTGTGAGCTAGTGTGAAGTTAGCCCCCCCAAAATTGTTTTTTAAATTTCTTTTAAACTAAATGTGTGCAAACGAAAACTTTTGATGTGTAAACATATGCAAACGATGTGCAATCGTTTGAGTTAAAGAAAGTTTACTTTATCGAATGTTGAGGAGCTAGTGTGAAGTTGGCCCCTCAAAATTGTTTTTTCAATAACTTTGAAACTAGAGGTGTGCAAATGAAAATTCTTGATGTGCAAACATGTGCAAACGATGAGCAAACGAATTAGGTAGAAATTGTATTTTTTCGAATATTGGAGGGCTAACTTCACGGGGCTGTTTTAGAGCGCGTTTGACAACCTTCGGTTTCTAGCAGTTATAAGACATGATAAAATTAAGAATTAAGTTTCTTTTATGAAATATTAAGAATAAATAATCCTCTCTTTTTCATTACAAAAACGTTTATTTTAATGTTTGAAATAATGTTTTTTAACATTATAAAAACATTTTTTAAACATTTGAAAAAAAATTATTTTTAAACATTTTTATGTCGTTAAAAAAAAACATTTTAACATTAAAATAAATGTTTTCTTTTAATAAAAAAGGAGACTTATCCCATTCTTTTTAACATTTTTAAAAATGTTTTTAAAAATGTTTCCCAAATGATTTTTAAACGAAGTCTTCTCAGATAACGAATGAAAAAAAGCGGTCGATGATAGCAGAAACGGGTCGCATTTCTGTATCCATAGTAATAAGAAACAATAATTATTTGAAACAGGCGCAAAAATCGGCCCTTTTCAGGGCTACAAAATTTTATAAGGATATTGGAACGATATTCGAACGCATAAAATATGAAATAATTATATCTCGCGTGTTTATGCAACACTAAAATTAAAAATATTCTACTTCGAGAATCTATACAAGCGCTGTACTGTTACAGTATTCTATATTGATGCAGTATTCTATATTAAAATAAATCTAATAATCTAATATTTATTTATTTTTTTTTTTTAAGAGCAGCTATTAAGAAGCACTTGAAAACCTCGAAGCCTCTTGAAAACCTTTCCCCAAAATCTCCTTTTACATTACAGTGATTTCCTTGCTAACAAGAAAAAATGCATAGATGTTCGAGCGAGCGAAACAGTCGTCGGAACACCGCTCACGTATAGACGAGACAGTGTGAGTCATTCTCTTAGTGTGCGTCTCACGTATTTTAGAACGGCATTTCTCTCCACGACGTCTTATAATGCTATCTCTCTTGCTCTTACGTCTGCGATAGAGGATGGAAGAACATCACGACTGCCACCACTATTCCCTCTCCAAGCGTCCGACGACCGCTAGCCCCCTCCCCCACTCCGTGCTGCCCCACCTACAGGCAGCAGTATCGAGTGACGCGTCATTGTGTGCGAGTCACACGGATATACGAACGGCATTAACGCCGATGCGTGTATGTGTGTTCCTATTATATTTGAATGATTTAACAATCATCCATGTAATTTTGCGACACTGCATAAATGAATGTGTGGAGGAAGTATCATTCTATTTATGAAACTTCAGATATAATAGGAATACACGCACAAACCGCGAGCCCGCCCGGGCGAGCGCGCGTGCAGGCGAGCAGTGTGTATGTGTGTGCGTATGCAACTGAACGTAACACACGGCTTCCAAATTTTTAACATGCAATTGTATAAATTTCTCAATGTAACACATAATTCTTTGCTTTTTTTTTTTAAGGAAAAATACATGAAATATATGAACAAATGCTTTATTAATGAATTGGTGTAACAGAAACATTTTTCGCACGCACGCACGCACGCGCGTGCTCCAGCTGGAACAGACCAATTGAGTTGAATGTTCCTAGGTACCCAGTACAAGCTCCGCCCATTCTCTCAGTCACTTATCGGTCACTCGGCCTCACCATTCCAGACCTCAAAAGTTTCCAGACCTGTGTAAGACCGCGCCTTATTCCACTGCTCACTCTCCCGAGAGATTTCACGTATCGCGCATCACGTAGTCTATACGTCGGTCAGTGCATACAGTATTGAAGTTAAATAGTGGTTGGTGTTATATAGAAATTGCTGCCGCAGTCCCGAGTGAGCGCGCAGAGACGTAGGACGCTGTAGACTTCTCAGAGGCTCTTCTTGTCCGTTTGTCTTCCCTTTTTGTATCAATGTGGATGAGTGAGTGAGTGGATGTGTGGGTGAATGCCTGACCGGGACTAGGAGGGGAGGGGGTGGCAAGTTTTCTGTATGTGGGAGTAATATGCGGGTGTTTTTGTGCGCGATTATGAGTGCATGGATAAGATCGAGATTACATCGAATAAAGTGATAAATAACGTAAGTAACTTTTTTTTGTTATATATTGAATTACTCAGAAAACTTATTCGAATTTTGTCAAAAGATGACATTGGAATAGTAGAATTGTCATTTCTAACGTATAAGAGTTGCACAGTTCCAGGATTGATTAGGGCTTTCCCACACAAACATTAACGCGTTAAGTTATAGTTGAGTATCCTATCCAGAAAAAGTGCGTGATAACTAAATCTCGAATGTATCGAAGTGGGTGAAGTCTCTTTTCCGCGACGCTAATTGGCCATCTCGACCGTCTCGATTGTTTCGATCCCGTCGCAATTGAATTCGTGCCGATTGTAGCGGTCAGCCGCGGTGACAGATCAGGTTGTGTTGTTCGCGTTATATAAATTCGATATTTATGTAATCCCAGAAAACACAATGGGTGTTTACGATAAGTTGTCGGATTGGAAATCCGACTGAACAGTGGTACTCAATCAACCCATTTCAAAAAATTCCCTAGCTTAATCAGATTTTAGTAAAAGCTGTCTCAGCAGTAATCGGATTAGCTTCATAGCGACGTGAGATGACTCTTATAGAAATATCATACTAAAAATCATTGATAATTACTTATTTTCAGTATTAAAAATACTGGATAATAAGTAATTATCAATGATTCTTATTATGATATTTCTATAAGGGGATACTTGTCCTCAAGAGAAATAAAAAGATAAAAGTCGGTAAGGTACGTAATTATTATTCTAATTATTAGCGCGTATCATTTTCCTTAGATATCAATATATAAATAAATGATCTGTTACATTTTTACTGATATTAAATTAATGAAAAGAAGTATTGGTAATCTCACGTGTAGTAAACATTAATCTATAATAATATTGGATTTATGCTATAATTTCGTATGTAACAAAATAAGAACAGTATAAAATCTGTTAAATTAACATTTCAAACATACTAATTTTAAAATATATTAAGGATATTAAAATATATTAAGGATATATGTGTGCTTGTATATGTGTATGTTCATATGTGTAATCTATAATTATTTACACACTTATATTTTTATATAAAAAGAATATTTATATTTTTATAGATTGTGATTATTTTATAGATTGTGAATTATATTTTCATAGATTGTATATATATATTCACAATCTATAAAAATATAAATATTCTTTTTATATAAAAAAAATATATATACACAATCTATAAAAATATAAATATTCTTTTTATATAAAAATATGAGTGTGTAAATAATTATAGATTATACATATGAACATATCCCATACAGCAGAGGTGTCCAAAATATATCACAGGGATATCCTAAAGATATATTTGGGATATGCGATATCTTCAAGATATCCTTATGATATGTTTGGGACGTTCCTGCTGTGTGGGACACATACAAGCACACATATTTATATGTATCTATATATAAATGCATAAATGTCCTTAATATATTTTAAAATTAGTATGTTTGAAATGTTAATTTGACAGATTTTATACTGTTCTTATTTTGTTACATACGAAATTATAACATAAATCCAATATTATAATAGGTTAATGTTTACTACACGTGAGATTACTAATACTTCTTTTCATTAATTTAATATCAGTAACAAATCATTTATTCATATATTGATATATAAGGAAAATGATACGCGCTAATCATTAGAATAATAATTACGTACCGACTTTTATCTTTTTATTTCTCTTGAGCACAAAGTATCACATCACGTCGCTATGAAGCTAATCCGATTACTGCTAAGACAGCTTTTACTAAAATCTGATTAAGCTAGGAAATTTTTTGAAATGGGTCGATTGAGTACCACTGTTCAGTCGGATTTCCAATCCGACAACTTATCGTAAACACCCAATGTTATATGTAACATACATGTTAGTTGTAATTTCTTACTCAACAAACAATACAGGGTGTCCCAAAACTGGTAGAACACCCGTTAGGAGTAGGTAGGGAGTGCACAAGGGAATAAATGTTGATAAGTAAGTGAGTGAATGTGTGGGTGAGTGCCTGATCAGGACTAGGAGGGGAGAGGGGGTAGCGTTTTCTGTATGTGGGAATAATGTACCTCTCATACACAACGCAAGAAAATCACTTACACTCACCATCCCCCATTCACATACTAAAATTATTCACGGTACTCAACCACCGATGTGCAGAAAACATTCAAGTCACTCACGCATTCGAAGGAAGCATATCATACATGTCCTATCCCTCCGGCATATAAAGCGCAATCATTCCGCCCATTTTCACTAAAAACACTCAAATTATCCATGCACTCATAATCGCGCACAAAAACACCCGCACATTACTCCCACATACAGAAAACTTGCCATTCCCTCCCCTCCTAGTCCCGGTCAGGCACTCACCCACACATTCACTCACTCACTCATCCACATTTATTCTCGTCCACTCACTTACTCATCCACATTGATACAAAAAGGAGAGACAAACGGACAAGAAGGGCCCCTGAGAAGTCCACAGCGTTCTACGTCTCTGAGCGCTCACCCGGGACGGTAAAAGATTGGCAGATTTAATTCATTAATATTTCGTTAACTAATTGTCGGATCCAAAAACAAGAGGAACTTTCAATTACAAATTGCACTCTCTACTTACCCCTAACGGGTGTTCTACCAGTTTTGGGACACTCTGTATAACTGTTATATAAGTGTTATATAACAGTTACATTGTTGAATAGGAAATTACAACTAACATGTATGTTATATGTAACATTGTGTTTGCTGGGGATATAATTTGTAAAAACGAGTATTGTAATATAAATTGTAAATAGTACAACGAAAAGGCTAAAGTGGCGCGCAAGAAGCGCGCACTATGTGGTGTTCTAGTCCTCTCTAAAAAAGGCATGTAAGAGATTTAATTGTTGCCGCTTTTCCACGATGCTGATTGGTTCTCTCACTTAGCTTACTTTATGTGGGGTGCGGCTTACTTTGTGTCGTTTGCGCCTTTCAAATTACCAGGCAAATAGCTGTCATCGCGTTGGTTAGATCACGAAAAAAACACAGAAGAGATATGTTTCTCCCTGTCTCTCCTGTCACTCCTGTCACTGCTCGTCTCTCCCCGTCTCTTCCCGTCTCTCCTCGTCTTTCCCCGTCTCTCTCCGTCTCTCCCTGTTTCTCCCTACCTCTCCTGTCTCTCACAGTCTCTCCCTGTCTTTCTCTATCTCTCCGTCTCTCTCTGTCTCTCCCTGTCTCTCCCTGCCTCTCCTTGTCTCTACCGTCTCTCCTTGTCTCTACCGTCTCTCCCCGTCTTTCCCGGTCTCTCCCTGTCTCTCCCTGTCTCTCCCTATAATTATTAATTTATTAAAGTATATTTTAATTTAATTTTTATCTTATTTTTATTTTACATTTTTTATTGTTTTTTATTAGCTATATGGCGCGCGCGTAGCGCGCGCATTTATTGTTCTAGTTGGCTTTAAATTGAACTTGTATTTAACAGTAAATTTATAATAACGCACAAAGAAAGTCTTAACGTAAGCATATTTATGCCTGTTACTATATTAACGAACTTTTTTTCTATTTTTATTTCCATATCTATTCCATATTTTTATTTCATATATAATAATGAAGACATTTTTATTTCATATATAATAATGAAGATCAGCTGGATCTACACATCAATTTTTTGAGCTCCTGTGGTGTCGTCAGGCAATTCAAGATTTTCACTATTCTACCTAAATATTTAGTAAACCAAAATAAGTACAGACTCGAATACACTTCATACTACTATGGATACTATTATGGATGTAGATACTAATAATATTGTACATTTGAATCCATATGATGCTACTATGGACCCGAGTATATACTTGGATGAAGACATAGACTCTTCTGATTTTATGGATATTTCGGATTCTGATGGAGATTTTGACATCTGTGACTCTGATGAGGATTGGGACCTGGATATTTCTCATACTAATATGGACTTGAATGTTTCTGTTCCTGATGTGAATATGAATACTTTTGATTCTGGCGTAGACCAAGATACTAGTATACATCTGGGTACATCTGATACTCCTGTGCATCAGTATACATCTTATAACAGTAAGTACATTAAATATTCGATATTTTGTAAGAAATATTTGCCTATTGTCAAAAATAGGAAATGTCCCACTTGCTCACAGACCCAATTGCATACCACCAACCGGTGTTCTGCTTTATCTAGTGAATTACTAATTCACTAGATAAAGCAGAGCACTGATTGGTGGTATGCAATTGAGTCTGTGTACATTTGAGCTTCACCCACGTGTATATATTTGCTTTAATTTTGTATAATTAATGTCTCAAAACTTATCGTAATTGTTTGCAAAATGATATAAGATTTTTTCGTATAATTTTATGATTTCTTCAGCATTACAAAACGGGTGTATATCAGTTGGACACGGGGCAATTGGACACAGTCCAATCACAAGTCGCTGTTCCAAGGGACCCTACAAATGTCTCTAATCATACGGTGCTGTGATTGGCTGTGTCCAAATGCACCGTGTCCAAGTGCACCGCTCCCTTACAAAACTGCGTTACTCCATTATCCATCATTCATAAGAATATACATAAAACGTTGTTTTATATTGAAGACAGAAAAAAATGAATTGAATTGAATCTTTTAATTGATTTAATAATTTATGAATCGGATAAATTAATTATATTTATGAAATTAATTTATAAATTCACTTATAAAAATAATTAAATTAATTTTTGTAGTACATACGCTAACAGCGCAGATGTCCAGGGGACATCCATAGTACATCTTGAGGAAGTCCTAAAGACATTTGTTCGTCCTCAGGACGTCCTTAGGACGTCCTTAGGAGATCTTGTGCTGTCTGGGTAAATTTAAAATAAAAACTCTTCTTAAATTGCGAATTATTTTAATAATTATTTCTTATGATTAATGATAACTTACTATATTCAATATATTCTATATTCAATGTAACATATAAATGTTTATTAATACTAGGACCGTTACCTGATGACTGGATAGATCATTTGCAGAAGATGTTTAAGAAGATGTTTGACGAACAACTTATTGATAACATTGTTTTAAAGTTTGCCGGCCTTAAAATTTCATGTGTGGCAGCTAACGGCCACATAGACGCAGCGTCGAGTTCGCCGCCCGTCACCAGTGTAGCGCGAGCGTGGTACATCGCGTTGCCGTTAAACCGCGCGCCTCGCTATCGCCGTACTCGCAGTCAAATTCTGCGAGGCATCGTATAAAAGGAGGCGTCGGGGCTCTTCGGGGAGTGCAAACTCCTATCCAAATGAAGGGAACAAGATATGTCACGTGACGTATCTTAGTTCGGCTAACACGACAAAGCATAGATTGTGATATTTGTATTTTGTTCCCCTCATTTGGATAGGAGTCATTTGGCTGGGAGTTCGCGATATTTTTACATGGACAGAAACCCTCCTGCGCATGCGTGAAGTGACGTAGCAGCTCGACGTAAGCAATTTCCAATGACGGCGTTAGGCACGAGTAGAGGGTTCTTAAGAGACATGCACAAAATACTCGGCCGTCTGTCTGTGTTGTTTGCCCGCGAGTGGTTAGGTTAGATAGGTAGTGAAATGACATAATAATAAATTAGTATAATTATTTAATTAGTATAATAATTATTATTATCAATTAATATTAAAAAATTATTCTATATTACAAAAATTGTTTTACAAATTTCATATGTATTATTACTTATATAAATTTTATTAATATGTATTGTAATTAATTGTAATTAATTAATTAATATACAGGGTGTCCCGCGTAAGACGGACCAAAAGAAAAATATAAGTAAAACACATAAAAGTGAACAAAAATTATATAGACCATTTTTCAAACAACTACATAAAATTTCAAGATATTAATTAAAATAGTTGAGCATATCAGAGCGCCGCGACACGGCAGGCGGGACATACAACTCGCCGCAGCCGGCGAAGAAAATAGATGATTGCTCGCGGGCCTATCTTATGGGCCAGAGAGGTGGGCCGTTTGGCATACTGAAATGAGTAGCTCCGTGTGTGCGTCCGTGTACGTGTGCGTTCTTCTATTTTCTTCGCTGACCGCTGCAAGCCGTATGTCCCGCCTGTCGCATCGCGCGTTCTAATTTGTCCAACTATTTTAATTAATATCTCGAAATTTTACGTGGTTGTTTGGAAAATGACCTATACAATTTTTGTTCACTTTTATGTATTCTACTTATATTTTTCTTTTGGTCCGTCTTACGCGGGACACCCTGTATATCGTAATTAATGTATACCTATTTATATTTTCTGTATTCATTATAAAATGTTATTTATGTACAATTTTTTTGTAAGAATACTGGTAAGGTTTTTCTGCAGTTTCCCTTACCTTTGCAACAGATGTTGGTATTCGTGTGATTGGTTGTCTGCAGAAATTACAAAATAAAAAATATATTTATTTTTACTTATGAACAGCATTCTGTTTCTTCCCACAAACTTTTTTTCTTCCTTTCATATTTTCCTTTAGGTGAAGGATCTTACGATACCTTAAAATAGATACGGCGCTGAGATTACCACAGAGTTTGCTCAATGCGTGCGCGAAAATATATCGCAAACTCCCAACACTGATAGGAGTTTGTACTTCCAGTAGAAGTGAGGGTAACCGTGAAAAGACAGTACAGGAATAACCTAAAGTGCCGTGAAGCGCAAATAAGTAACTAGAAGTGATTTCGAGTATTATAGCGTGTTCGACTGACCCTGGGTTAATCCCTCTGAGAGCGATTAATGACGTCATAAGTCTTTACTAGCCAATCATAAAGCTTATAAGTACTTGTTCGACTAATAAACGTAGGCTGAATAACCCAAAGTAGGTTAACCCAGAGTATTCATTTATTTACATACAATATATTTTATTATATTATTATGTAATATTTACACATGTATATGTTTTTTTATGTACGTATGTGTTGCATACTGCATGTGTTGCATTTATGTACGTATATATTATGCATTTTTGTACGTATCTGCCCAGGTCTATGACGTCTATGACGTCTATGACGTCTATGACGTCTTAATAACGTCTAAATGACATCTTTAGACATTATCTTGCTACCTGGGTGTATGTATGTGTATACGTGAATGATTGTGTGAACACTCGCTTACAAAATAGTTTTTCTGAAATTGGCATTGTATAAAATGGTCACAACTCTTTCGCTTTAATGAGTATTCTTTTTTAGAGAAACAAGTTATGTTATTATTACATCACAAATTACAACTTCAAATATTTGCATGCTATGATCGCTATCTCTGTCTAACTAATCTAATTAAACATATATTCATAACATCTGATTCAAATACTTTGAAAGCAAGAGAATTGAATGATCATATGATACTATGTCTTGCAATCATTATTAAAACATTTTCTGCTCTTCTTCTTCCACTTTAAAAATACGTCTTACTCTCAATAAATATCTTTAATTACAATAGAGATAAGAAACTAGCTATGTTCTCTCTGCACATAACATTTTATACAATGCCAACTTCAGAAGATATGTGAAAACTGTTTTGTAACTGAGTATATAACCAGATGTATTGTCATATGCATCATATTTTTTTAATCATACATTAAAATATATATCCGACAGTCCGCAGTTTGCAAGTGGGACGGGAAAAATATGCTGCATTGCACTTTTTATTTGCATTATATTCCCTTCAAGCGTGTTAGGATAGTGTAAAATATATATTTGTAATCTGTAATTATTAATAAACAAAATGACACTGCATAACTTTGCAGTTTGGTTTTAATTTTAATAAAGCTTGTAATAACAGTAGAATTATAGTAAGTAATACACATACGAATGTGTATGTGTGTGTGTGTGTGTGTGTCTATGTGTATGTGGCGTGTATCCCCACTCTTTCTCATGTGACCATTTTAGTTCGGTTAACACGACATAGATTAGATGGCGTTTAAACTATCCCCTCTTTCTTCAAGAGAGAGTTTGCACCTTCTGGTAGTTCCGGCGCATTTGTCATTCGCACTTAGGGTACCTCCCTATACGGCGTAACTTGCGTAAGTGTAACCTGCATAATATTGTAATTTACTAGAAGTTACGCCATTTTGCAAGTCGACATTCAATACCTAATCCTCATGGCGTATTTCGTTAAATTTGCGTAAAGCGTAACTAATAACTTCCTAAAGCTAACCAATAAAAGATCAGGCTTTCTGTTGTATTGTTCAATACAACAGAAATACTAAGTTGATTCTCGATTGGTTCCCAGATAGCCAAACCTGTGCGAGCAGATTATATGCAGAGTCTGTCAACAGTATCTGTTGACAGAATGACAGAAACTGTTTTAGCAGTCTCTGACGACAGATTGGTGACAGACTGCGCGCAGAGCCTGTCGACAGATTCTGACAACAGACTGACGGCAGATTGCGCGCAGATTCTGTTTCCTAGATTGGCTATTTAATTCTATTAAGGGCCATATATACGTTATTAAATGGGACAGTTTCACATACACACCATGCTGCAGAGAAGTCAAGATAATTATATTGTGCAATAATTGTACACATATACACAATAAAAAATAATGTTTATATTTTAAAATTGTATTACACATTTTTTATAAAAAAGCAACAATAATAGAGAAATAACGAGTACAAGTATAGAATAGTACAACGGTTAAATGGCCATTTAAAGGCGTACACATGTCATTCCTGGTAAAAATTGTTCTCATAATTTTTCATACAATTTCTCA